TCTACCTATCATAATTTAATAAATATTATAATTAACTAGTCCAATGCAAATCCTTTTTTTATCGAGATTTTCTATTTACACTAAAATCTTGATTAATAATTAATAATTCATATTTTATATTAAAGTTTTTAAACACTTACTTTAGCAATAGGAGGCTATCATCTTCATGTAAAAATGATTGTTTTACATCCCAAGTAGAACATGAATTTTGAGCTATCAAAGCAATAAATAATTTTATTATATCATGCCTAATAATTGCAGCAAAAATTTATATGTAATAGATATTATACTCTTGTTGTATTCTTGCTTGTAACCTTTAAGCTACCAAACATGTTATATATTTATTAACCTTATTATTTTTTTTTTTAATTTTATCTTATACATCGAATTTACACTAATGATCTTTTGTTTTTTTGAAAGATATATCAACTTTCAAGTATTGTTTTTCTTAATGACATCAATTGTATTATTCGTAGCATTTTACCACTTTGTTTCTTTAACGACATCTTCCAAAATTATAGAATCATATTCTGATAATATAGCAAAATAAGTAGATCAATCTATTATTAGTCAATCATGCAGGCCTTTTTCTAACTTGTTATGACATTTGATTATTAAGTGTGGTAGTGTGCTTTGATCATTTACTCGTTGTGATGCTTTATTTATAAGCTTTCCTCTTTTTTCATTATTTTTATAATTTAAATTTACTAGAATATTTTGTTTAACATCATCATTGCTAAAAAATAACATTACGACTAGTAATAATTTTATTGGTGTTAGAATTATATAGTTTATAAGCTTTTAAATAATCACCAATAGCAAGAAAAATGTATTTTTTCTCTTATCATCAAGCTTTTTCCTCTTTTGATCTGGAATATAAGTAATGCATCTAAAAATTATAAAATAATCAATCGTCGATTTTTATCTACTCCAAGCTTCCTCTAGTATCTTATCTTGAACGATAAGTCTAAAACTTCTATTCAAAACATAAATAGTTCAATTTAGTACTTAAATCCAATAAGATTTTGGTGGGCCACTCTTTGTTAAAAGACATTGCATCATATCCATAATAGTGTGATTCTTCTTTTTATAAACATCATTTTGTTACAGAGTATTGACTACGGTAAGTTGCTTCTTGATTCCACAGGTTTGACAATAATTTGTAATTTCTTGTAAGATATACTCTTCATCACGATATGTTTAAAAATATTTTATTAGTTAACTAGCTTCATTCTTGACAAGTGTTTTATAACTCTTAAAAAGCTTAGAAAGCTTTAGCTTTTTCTTGCAAAATAAACCTAAATTTCCTTACTATAATCATAAAAAAGGTGATTATATATTTATCTCTAATAAAAAAATGAAGTTATTGACCCTTAAATATCATAATGAACAAGCTCCAATGTTTACTAATAACAAATTCTTCACAAACTTGAGAAGGAGTTGAAATTTTAGAAATGCATGCCACCATATTTTTTTGATGTGGAATTCTCGATCTGCTTAATTTAAGATGTCCATAGTAAAAATGTCACAACCATACTTCCTCATTTAATCTCATAAAAAATATGAATGAGTAATATTTTAAAGATACAGAGGAAAAAATTAATTTATCGTCATGTTAACTTTGGTAATTAAGTCCAATTTGTCATCTTCAATTCTACATACTCTACTTTTTTATATATATAAATCCATATCCATTTTCTTCAAGTTAACAAAGTAAATTTATTTTTAATTTTAAAATAAAGATGTTTAAGAACTAGTGATAGAAGACATGTAAATATAAATTATAAAATTGAAAAGAGGTGTTCAGGATTGATGATAAAAGACACGTGAAGATAGATTGCAAAATTAACTCGTCAATTGATGAAGGTAAGGAGGCTAAATGATCGTGAGAAGAATAATCATGGATCCATGACTAATTTTGAGAACTTCTTAATCAGGATGAATATGATTTTGAAACTCAAAGTTTTTATAATTTTAATTTCTTTGCCAATTGGAATCAACACCAAAATTTGATTAGAATGATGTTGAAGGAAAATATTTAGATGCAAAATCTTTTATTTATAATGTTCATAGGAAAGGAACCAAGTTAGTTATGGTTCCAAAGATATCTTTCATGAAGCACATTACAAATGATGTGCCTCATATATGTTGGAAGAGAATTTTGTAATTGATAAGGTTAAAGTTTATATTTTTACACTTTATATAAAAATTGTGAAGCAAATTTCTAAATCTTTTGCGAATGCTAAGATTTGTTATGTTATTAGAGAGGATATCTGTGACAGATATGATGTTTTTAATAAAAAAAACTACTAGAATTGGTTTATAAAATATATAAAGGGTCTTTTAAGGTGACATCCACTCACATTTAATGTTAAAAACATGTTGAAGTTTGTGATCTAACATAACTATTTTTAATTGGAATATTAACATGTTTTTTAAAAAACCAATTAAAGGTGAATAAAAAATTGTTCTCAATAAACCTTTGAATAGTAAAATTTTCAAATCCAAAATAGTTTATAGATTGAGTTATGAACTTATGGACTTATTCATTAGTTTGGACTTGAGTTGGTTAACGATAAAATATTTTGCTCTTAAGTCCTTGTTTGACTAATAATTTCGTTTAAGTCTCTAAAATATCTTGTACATGAACCAATATATCAATTAAGTTATATGAATAAATTCATGAACTATTAACATTCATGAATTGTTTTATGAATTATAAATACTCATAAACTATGAGTAATTTATGAACTATAAACATTCATGAATTATTTTATGAATTATAAATATTCATAAATTATTATTAATTCATGAAATTTTTCTATGAATATTCATGAGTATATTTCATGAATTTAAAATTCATGAATTATGAGTAATTCATATATATTTCATGAATTTAAAATTCATGAATTGGTTCATGAATTATGAGTAATTCATGAACTATGAATATTCATTATTTTGTTTTTATGAATATTGGTGAATATGTTTCATGAATTTAAACATTCATGAATTATTTCATAAATTATGAATATTCAAGAATTATAAGAAATTTATGAATTATGAACATCGATCATAATTAATAAACATTCATGAATTATTAGTATTAATTTTTTGGTTTTCAAGTCCTATAAATAAGTGTTTTGGATGAGTGGAAATGGATGAATGAAATTCTTGAATTCTTTTCTCTATTTGTTGTTGTTTTTTCTAGGTCTAGTTCTTTTATTCATTTTTCATATTCTAGGGCTTATATTTGGTTTTTATAGAAAGATATTGAATATTATTCATTTAAGTTCATTAGATCTTGTTAAGAGTGTACCTAAATAAAAAGGAGTTGTTGGAATCCTTGGAAGCTTATTAAATAAAGTTTTTTACATCAAATAAAAAGTAATAAAGCTTTAAAATTAAATGATTAATTCTTAACAACAATAAAATTTTATATTGGATATATTCTAAGAACTTCAACAAGGAAGTACTCTAACCAATTTTATTTAAGTGTAATTTGAATACCTGTGTAGTTTGCATGCTAGGATTTTCTCTTTATATTTCTACAAGTTTATATATTTGCATACTAACCATACTAGCTTTTATAATAATTGCATGATTATCAAGCTTTTATATATTTGCATGATAATAAATGAAATAAATAGGCTCATTTATCTAATTATCTTTTTATATGTGAATTTTTTGAACAACAAAGAATATTTTTAGAAAAGTTATTTATTTTTCTAGTTATTTTTATTTTGTCCTACGTACCTTAGGAAATTAAATATTATGCATAACAATTTTATTTTTTTAGTTTGTTTAGTACTTTTATTACTTTTTCTTTATTTTTTGCTTTCCTAATTGTTTAGGTTAGTTTTTAATTTTATTTAAGGAGTTGTAAATCTCTTTGAAAGGTATACTATTTGAAGAATATTCAAAGAAAAATATTCAGTAATAAAATTTTAAATTAGAGTTTTTGTATGTTGACCTTACTCGGTATAATTTTGTGTTGTCTATTCTTGCAATATTTCTTGGGTTATTTTCTATTTGGGTCAATTTCCAACTTAATTTTTAATGCAAAATAAGAATGTTTCAGTGTTATAAATGTATTTTATGATATTATTTTTTTAATTGAGAAATGAAAGATGACATCTATATTTAATAGAATAAATTGAAAAATATATGAATTAATAAATAAATAATTATTATTAATGTTAATTAAAGACTAAAGCGAAAAGTTGATTTTCCTTTTAAGAAGTAAAAGATAAATGCGTATACAAATATTTTACTTCAACTATTCTTTTTATTTTAATTTTTTTTAAAAAAATTATCTTAGAAGTTAATTTTGGTCTCTAAATACATTTGATTTCATTTTAAAAAATGCATTGTCCAAATAAAACTTATTGATCTAAAATTTAAGAGAAAAAAGTTTAAAGATAAATTACAATAATTTTTTTGAAGTATTATGAAATTATAGAAACAATTCACAAAATTAATTATTAAAAAAAATAAACTAATCAATTCATAAAACAAAAATAAGAGAGAGAGGGAGAGAGAGAGAATTGATTAAGATTCAAACTAAAAGAAAAAAAAATTAAAGTCTATGCACCTGGTCAAAAATAAAAAAGGCTAAGCCCATACATTTACTTTAATTTTTTTATATTATTATTATTAATAAGTGGACAACATATTGGCTATAAGGAATGGAGACGGCAAAGAAAAATGTGAGAAGATGAGACGTTTGGACTGTGTAGCATCATCTTTTTAATATATAGTCAAAGAAAGTTAAAGTTACAATCAAATTAATTTAATGAAAAAATAATCATAAAATTAGCTATGAATTTGACCTAACCAATTATTATAATTTTCTATTAGGTGGATTTAGCATGACATGCCAACAAATTAATATTCAAAATAATAATAATAATAATAATAATAAAAACCGTCCAGTTTCTCGCATTAACAACCGCAATTAATATTCAAAATAATAATAATAATAAAAACCGTCCAGTGCATTAACAACCGAACTTCTTCCCCCCTCTTTCATCCCTATTTCTCATCCTTCCCTTCCTCCCCAAGTCTAGAGAGAGAGAGGAGGAAGATTCTGCAAATACGAAGAGATAGAAAGACAGGCTATCGGGATAGATCGTCTAAATAATTGAATCAAAAACACTGGGCAAAGAATGGAGGTTGGAGGAAGAGCTGGGCCTCAAACGACGACGGCGTCTTCTTCTTCATCGTCGTCCGCAATGCTACCGTACAACCTTCCTCTCTTCTCTGCCTTGCTGTCCTTCGCTCTCGCTCAATTCCTCAAGCTCTTCACCACCTGGTCATTCTCTTTCCCCTCCCCTTCTCTTCTTTTTATCAAAAGGACCCATCCCAATTTCATTTGATTTTTTTTCAAGCTATTTTATTTTATTGAAGATTAAAGGATCAAAATCTGTTAATCTAAAGATTTCCCTTTTCATTATCTCTCTCCTTTTAAGTGGGTTTTATTTTTCTCCCCATGCCACCCTTCATAGGGATTGTACCGTCCATTTTGCAAAGGCAGAGATAAAAGGATATGAACTTGGATAAATATGACTTTGTCTTGTGTCTGTAATTAATTTGTTGAGTTTAAGATATATCATGTAGCTCAAATTTTCAGCATTTTTGTCCTAGATGCTCAGGTTTAAAGAAAAGAGATGGGATTCTAAAAGAATGCTTGATTCTGGTGGAATGCCATCTTCACATTCTGCAACTGTCACAGCTCTAGCAGTGGCTATAGGTCTGCAAGAAGGGACGGGTTCGCCTGCTTTTGCCATTGTTGTTGTCTTGGCCTGTGTTGTGAGTCTCTTTTTTTTCACCCCTTGGTGTTTGCTCGCTTGTATTATACCTATTCCCGCTGTGGTGATGTGGGTTGATTGCTTGCTGTTTTGGATAAATTTTGCCAACATTGTCGTTCAACCTTCTTCAGAACTTGATTAGTTTAAAATGCTTTTTCCCCCCTCTTTGTACTGATTTGAATTAGAATCACTCAGATGGGTTAGTTTGAAGTTTTAGTAAAATTTTCAGTAAAAAAATCTTTACTTCTTGGAGGTTTATAGGAAATTTTAGTGGTGTGAAACGAATTCATGCCTTTTCTTCATGCTTGAAATGCATATTTGGTGATGAAATGGGTGCATTTCTACTTTAACTTGTTTTGTGCTTCATTCAGGGATCAAACTATGTTGTATGTTTTGCTAAAAGGTTTATATAGTTGGCACTACTGACGTAAAATGCTATAAACTTATTTTATTGTGGCTGCCATGATGACTTACTTCAATAGCTTCCAACCAAAAAGGAGGGTAAAAAAATCTTGGCTATGTGAGGAAGATCCTAAGAATAATTGATTGGAGGCGGTGGAAAGTTCATTGATAGACACTGCAAACTCTCCAAGTGAAGATATTTGTTGATTTCCCTTCGCAAGTCTCTTAATCAAGAGAATTTTGCAATCCCAAGATGCTATAGGCCAAAATATGTAGCAAGATTCCATATATAATTTCGTATTCTAATATCTAGGTTTTAGTGGATTGTTATTGGGCAGCCTTAAAAGCTGGTTTAGCTGGGCTGCATCAAGAAACCTGAAGTTTATGATCTAAACTGCATTATTCAGCTTTTGATCTGGATGATTTCACACTAACTATAGAATTCATAGGGCTGTAATGCCATTTGTGTTCTTTGTTTTCTGTTGATCTCTCTTTAATCAAGAAGTTTGATTCACCCAAATATATTACTAGGAACTGCTACTTTTTCTGTGTTGACATGATTGACTTTTATATTTTCTGCAGGTGATGTATGATGCTTCAGGCGTCAGACTTCATGCTGGTCGGCAAGCTGAAGTAAGTCATCTTGACACAAATTTGTAAACTTAGACTGCTTTTTTTGTTTGCTTCTAATATTGCAACTTGCAAGTGAATTTTGACACATTCATAGGTGTCTTGTTGCTTGTATTGCTTTACATGGTTGTGTTTTTGTGCCTATTACAGTTGCTGAACCAAATTGTCTGTGAGTTTCCTCCAGAACACCCGTTATCCAGTGTTAGACCTCTGCGTGAATTACTTGGGCATACTCACCTTCAGGTTTGTTGCATGATTACTGCATTTTGTTTCAACAAGCAAGTTCTCTCTTTCATGCTTGCATTTTCTCCTTCAAGGTTCGTGTATTCTACAATTCAAACTCACTCAATCCATGGTCAAATTATTATCACCCGGATGAGATGCTTGTTGTAGTTGACTAGGTATTGCAAGGCTTGTCGCTGTACCTCTTTATTCACTGTAGACAAAGTAAGTTGGAAATGTCTGGAAAAAAAAAATATATGAAATGCCTTATAATAGCAAGATTAAGAACAATAAATATAGGAGAAAGAAAAGGAGAATTGAGAGATGGAGACTTAAGCAAGGTCATAAATATAGTAAGAGCATTTTCCTTGTATCCCAAGGACAGAAAGTAGATAGAACTGTCTATAAACCAAATTTTGTTATTTGAAGGCTTTATTGATAAAGAGATAGCCAAGTTTTGGCGTATACATTATCATTAAGTGCTGAGGGAAGATAACTTTCTTGAAAGTTGAAGACAGTTCAAAAGATGTTAAAATGCAAGTGCCAGGAATTTTCAAGTCAAATCAAGTTTTTAGTAAGTTGATCGGGTGATATAAAAGTCAACTCTAACCTAGTTTACTTAAGTTTATCAAAACAGTAATAGTGCCTAAATACTTTTTTTTATGATAAAGATAATTTTTTATTTGACCCTTTGCGAAGCACGGGTAGGTTAACTATGGATTATAATAGGAATTCTCTCACGGTTTTTTCCTTTAATTATTTTTCTAAAGCCAAGTCATCTTAATTCTTTTCCTTGATTTCTTCAATTATTTTGGCTATCATTTGCACATTTTTTTTACATTCAAAAACATTTTGGTACAACCCGCAACAAAGCATGGGCCTAGTTAATAAATAAAAATCTAAAAGGCTTGGCTTTTTCATTGTGAACATGCCATTGCTCACCCTCTCACATTTTACTATAGGCCTACTATTCAAAATTTTGCTTTCAATACAATTTTTTATGTACAAATACAATTTAAGAGAAAAAAATTTGTCCCGCTGGGGGTCAAATAGCTATAGTAATACCAGTTCGGGTAGAAGCTTGTCAAATATATTGACTTTGATGTTCAGGTGCAGATAACCCGCTTACTGTTCTGGACAGGTTGTAGCCGGAGCTATCCTGGGATTCATTGTAGGCTACCTGATGAGAAATACTCATTAGCAGATTGTGTTTCCATCATTTATTATTCAGGCGCCGCAGCAATTCCAGCAAAGAAGAATGGAAGAGCTGTTGTATATTGTAGTTCCAATTGTTGGGAAAACAGATGCAGTTGTTGGGAGTGATGCCCGTATTATTGGGATTTTATGGATTTTGTAATATATGTGAAAGTACGTTCATGAATAAACAATGCTTCCAGAATAAACTTGGTGGAAAGAATGGCATCCCTGCGTTGAGCTTTTCTGCTCATTTATCCGCTGGATTCCATGGCGACCTGGTGATTTATTTGGTCGCAGTAAAGGCAGGCTAGTAACGGTCTACTGATAGTAATTGTGCTTTTTCTCTAGAGCATACTGGCGAACAGGGACGTGCTTTCCTTTATGGACATCACCAGAAGAAAAATCTGAGCCAGAAGGTTCCTGCATAGTGTTTCTGACTTGGATCTTGAACCAAGCAACAGACAGAAACTACTGGTGATATTTTAGAGGTTGCCATTGTTTAGTTTTGTTCGCATTCAATATTATAAGACAAGGTAGAAGTACACAAATTTTTAATAAAGTTGAAATAAAATTCTAGTATGTATACTGACATGTAATAATAGAATATTCAAGGTTGTTCTTGAATTAACAAAGATCTTATCATGAGTACTAACAAATACAAAAAATAATCATTATACTAAAACTAGTATAAGAAATATTTTGTTGTCAAGATTAAATATTTTGTTTTTAAGACTAAAATGCTGGTCACCTATACTCGTGTAGGATTTAAATAATTTAACTTTTAAATGATGCATTTCCTTTGAACATCTACAAACCCATCAAAATGTCTCTCAACAAAGGACCAGAACCTAACAAAAGAAAAGGCAGCAAAAATTAACCATAATTAGAGGCAAAACAAGTTGAAAAAATTATAAAAAATAAGGCAAATGAGTTATTGGAAAGTACACAGAATCTTTTCAACCTTTTTTTTATACTGTTTTTTTTTAATTAGAATTGGTAGACAGCTAATTTTGATAATTACTAAAATTAAGTTTTATCATTTTATATTAATTATCCATCATAAACAGAAAAAAACTGATAATTTTTTATTTTAAAATCCATACAGTTTTACTTAAAAATAATTTTCTTAGGAAATAGAAAGTTTCTAATCAAATTATTCATTCATTACGTGGTAAAACAAATTGAACTCGTAAAAAATAATTTTTTATAGGTAAAAAATCTTTTATAGCAAACACAAACTCAAAATAAACTAGAAAAAATAAATTTTTATGAACTAAAAAATTATTTTATAAGCATACTCATGCTAAAACATAAACCCAAGACCTAGTTAGGATTGAGTTCTAAGCCCAGACTCAAATCTTGCTAAGTGGAGCCGAATGAATATGCTTGTTGATCTAAGTTCAAAGCTCATTTCGCAAACAAAATAATATCTAATGAGCCTAAAATTTAAAATTAACATAATTAATTCTAGCAATTAACATAATTAAGTCTCTTCATTTATCTTAATTACCCATTATAAATAGATAAAAACCTGACAATTTCTTTTTAAAAAATATATGTTTTTACTTAAAATAAAATTGTTTACGAATTGAAAGACTATTTATTCATGAACTGACTAAACAAAACGAGTTAGACAACAAGAATTCTTTAAAAATCAAGAAATTATTATACAACCAAGCTGAATCTAAACCCAAGCCAAGGACTCAGGGCTTGTGGTTGAAGGCCTGAGGCTGGGTTGAGCCGAGTGAGTACATGTGGCTTAGACCTGAAAATCCACTTCGCTAGGGGCTTCTCTCTTTTAAAAGCTGTGGTGTCCCACTGTTAATTTTTAACTTCTTCTCAACTTCCCATTGTATATATACTTTTAAGAAAATCTGTATATTTTCCATGTGGAATAAAGGATTTTGAGTTTCATAAAACATGCAAAGTAAGAGTTTTTTCAGGTTAATTTTTTATTTACTCATAATTTATTTTAATTATATTAATATTCTAATTTCCATTTTTTATCCAATAGAATCTAATAAGCCCATTTCTTTATCTTGGTGGGATAAACATTTAGGATATGAATCATGTATAACATGCTCACCATCTTTTCCCTTCTTTTTTTTTTTGTGTGTGTTCTTGAGTCATGAGGAAGTAATGAAATCCCATTTTATGGTTTGTTTTAGGTGTGCCAAACGGCTCCCTTGTAATAATTTGTTGCCATTAATTTTCTAATAGTTTCTTTCAAGATAAATCTAGGAAAAACGTTAGAAGATGAACTTCCTTGGCAATTCTGCTTCTTCTTCATGGAGTTTCAACTTTCTTGCTATTAAATAAATATTCCTCTCTCTTATTCAAAGTTCACACTTAAAGCACTCCTTTAATACATCTCTGTACGATCTGTTTCTCTAAACTCACACAATGTATAAGGAGTTTCATAGTGTAAGCCATGACATGATGAAAAAAATGAGATCATCAAAGCCACGCCATCTCCTTTGGTTTGGCTTCAAGATAGTGATTGCCCTCTTTTTCTTGTCATACTGTCTTTTTGCTTCTCTGAAGCTTCACTCTCATGTCAAGCTTCCTTCCCTACATCCTCCTGCTTTTCATGCATCTCCCTCTTTAAGGTATCATCATTTTGAAGGCACACCGAAAATCGCTTTTCTCTTTCTTGCTCGGCGTGACCTCCCCCTTGATTTTCTGTGGGATTCCTTCTTCAAGGTCTGTATCTCTTTCTTGTTTATCATGATGGTTCGAAAGGACAAAAATGGATGGCAGTGTAAAAATCAAGGATATATATATATTAAAATGAAATTGCATGTGTTCATAAAAAGAATGAAATGGAAGTTTATAATTTTGGAAATAATTTTGATGAGTATTTCAGAATGTTGATGCGGCGAAATTCTCTATTTATATTCATTCCACACCTGGTTTTGTCTTCAATGAAACAACAACAAGGTCTGCATTTTTTTATGGTCAGCAACTAAACTATAGTATTCAGGTACTCATTAAATTCAATCTATTGTCCTCAGTTTCTTTTTTTAACTCTATTTTCACTAATTATTTTGGTTTCGTTTCCAATCACGTTTCCTCAAGATTTTCAAATGAAAGTAGATTCGAATTTATGCATCGTTATCATGATGGTTCGAAAGGACAAAAATGGATGGCAGTGTAAAAATCAAGGATATATATATATTAAAATGAAATTGCATGTGTTCATAAAAAGAATGAAATGGAAGTTTATAATTTTGGAAATAATTTTGATGAGTATTTCAGAATGTTGATGCGGCGAAATTCTCTATTTATATTCATTCCACACCTGGTTTTGTCTTCAATGAAACAACAACAAGGTCTGCATTTTTTTATGGTCAGCAACTAAACTATAGTATTCAGGTACTCATTAAATTCAATCTATTGTCCTCAGTTTCTTTTTTTAACTCTATTTTCACTAATTATTTTGGTTTCGTTTCCAATCACGTTTCCTCAAGATTTTCAAATAAAAGTAGATTCGAATTTATGCATCCCACAATATTTTTGCTGCAGGTGATATGGGGAGAATCGAGTATGATAGAAGCAGAGAAGCTATTACTTTTAGCAGCTCTCCAAGATCCTGCCAATCAAAGATTTGTTCTCCTTTCAGACAGGTGCATTTTGATGCACTCGAAATGGATTTCTTGTGCATATTTTACATAAAATTTAACAAGAACATGCATCTCGTTTACCTTTGTCACTTCTTTTCACTTCATAGTTGTTTGCTTTGCAGCTGTGTTCCTTTGTACAACTTCAGCTATTTATATAGCTATTTAATGTCTTCTTCAAAAAGCTTTGTCGATAGGTGTGTTGAAAAAAAATCC